AAAGACATAGTTTTCTGTCACAGGAACTTGCATTTCTAACAAACAGAATTTGCACAGAACTATAAAACAAATTTTTTCTTACTGTGTATGAGAAAAACAGACACTTAGACAATGCCAGCTTAATATTTTTTTTTATCTCAGTTTCCTAATGAAGACAGAAGAACATTAACTTTTAGTAGTGAATTTTAAAAAGTAGCTAAAGTTTCAAAAATTCCCTTTGGAATTGTGCAGTATGTCCACTTGAGTTGACTTTTTTAAAAAAATACTCTTTTGAATACTGTGATAACCCAGTCATTCTTCTTACCAAAATATGTATTTTTGCCATGTTCTTTATTGTAGCATGTCCGTTTGGTCTTAAAAGTTACCAGAGATACCTTTTTAATTTTCACTGCTGCCATTTTTGTATAGTACACAACAATTCTACGCATGCAATTCCTTATCCACTGAATAGTCCACTCTTAAAATGTATGTTTCTCCAATTTGGACATAAGTATGTCATTTAATAGAAAATTGAAGGCCTTAAGGAAACCTAGGTAAATGACATTGGTGGGTCTTCACTTGGTGGGTCAACCATTCCAGTCACTCCATTATGGAAGTCCGCTAAATTGGTCAGGCATGATTTGCCCTTAGGGAAGCCATGTTAGCTGTCTCAGATCACCTCCTTATCTTTCATGTAAACATCCCTCTGTTACCAACATTCCATACAGTACAAATCCAAAACATAGCTCTGGACTATCTACTGTGAAGAAAATTAACTTTCTCCCAGACAAAACCAGTACACAAGCCTTAGGACAAGCATCTTCACGTTCTAAAGGGAATAGGTTTCCAGAGTATGGGAGCTTTTGTATAATCTTATAGCAGACAAGAAGCACCATTATGCCTACCGCTGATATTGTGCTAAATCTCTCTCCTTGGTTTTTTACTTCAGTTTTAAGTTATGCCCTACAACAGTCACCACATGTGAGACACTGGATTATTATATTAATTATTGGCTTGCACCAACTCAAGTGTGTGTAGTGGGGGAAGCGAAGGGTCAAATTTCACAAAGGTGAAGTGATGCCCTATCCCACACCCCAGCTCCCTGGAGCCTCCTTGGGCAGCACTGGAGCAGCTGCTAGTCACTGGACACTGGCAGTGCTGTCAACACTACATCCCAGAGCCCCTGACCCAGTCCCGAGCTGGCTGGAGCTCTGGATGTCTGATGTAGGGGTAGGGGTGTGGTCACAGGGCACCAAAGCAGTAAAAGCCGCAAAATGTGCTTTCCGTGTTTGTTTGAACCCTATCACCTTCATGAATTCCTGGTAGCTGGATCTAGGGCTAGTAGCCGTAATTCTCTCTTTTAATCTTTCTTTTCTTCTTCCTCTCCTAATCTCCAGTTTTGATTTTTTGGGTAGCTTAGGACTGGGTGGGTTGGCTTTTACTAAATTGTGTGGGTTAATGTGTGCTAAGTCAATGCTTTGTGGAATGCTTTATTTTCGTTGTATGTTGCCCTTTAAACTTTTGCCAAGTTCTCTTATTGTCTAAAGTTTACCAGTAAAAGCATCTTCTGAGAAAACGTGTGAAGTGTTTCTCCTTTGCACTCTCTCTTAAGGTTTTAAAAAAGCTGAGTGCTCTTCTGATAAATTCAGTGGGCAAATTTTTGGAACCTTGTATATTTTTAAAGTAAAACCCCTTCAATGAGCTTGTAGCTTGGACTCTGGGGTCTTACACCACGTTTTCCCCCTAAGTTCCATTGTCTTCTGCTGTAGTTTAAAGGTAGTTTCTTTTCCACATTCTTTTGCAAGCTCTACATTTTTAGAGGGAAAATTCTCTATTAACTGTGTTTCTTGACACAATTATTCCTAATCTGATGGCCATTTTGGTTCTAGAAGGTTAGTTTTAGAAGACATATTTTTGTACATGGTCATTGAGTACACGTACAACGGATAAGGTAATTTGATTTTAAAAAAATGCCAGAGGTCTAAAATTTTTGAGGAACTAGATGATGTTAAACAAGTTTGATATTACTGGCTAATAGCAGTCCTGTACATAACTGAAAAGCCAGATGATAAGATTTCCCATTCCTTTATAATCATGCTTAGCAGTAACTGAGAAGTTATGTGTTGCATCTTTATCAGAACACAAGGTAGGTGTACTGACAAATTCTCTTGATTTTGTTGACAAGAAGGGAGTGATGTAGGTGCCCTGTTTTTAGGCAGTGATATCTGTTTCTAAACAAAACCATATGTATTATGATCTACTCTTCCTTGTTAAATCATCAGCGGAAACTTGGCTTTAATGTTTGTAAATCTTATTTGAATATACTTTCTTTCTTTCATCTCAAAGCAGCAATAAAATCATTACGAACTGCATCAAATTAATTGTATTCTGGACTTGAGCTATCAAAGGCTTATTCACAATTCAGTTTTGGTTTTTCCTGTGGCAGCTAGTCCCTGTTAGAGTGTAACGCTATACACAGGAAAGGATCCTCAGCTGTATTGGTGTAATAGTGAAAGCAGGATAAAAAATTAACCTGTCAGAAAAGGAAAACAGCAGCAAAAAATGCCCACAATGCCATCGTATTTGCTATGTTGGCTCAATATATTCTTATTCCAGACTACATTGACCTTATGAAGAATGATCTTCACCAGTTTCTGTGACACTTTGCCGGGTCTGAGCCTTAACTGAGGAGGAGGATGCTACTGATTTAGATTCCAGAATATGCAGTCAGTCTGCTTCACTCTGCATTACCCTGCATGTACTGTATCTAATCTGTTACTTTGGAAGGGCCTGCAGCTGCTGTTAAGTGATTTATCTCAAGTAACCTCTGTGCTGTGACAGCTCTGAGATACTAGATGGTCCCAGCAGTGATAAGAGCAGCCACACTCAGCACAAAGTGCACAACTGCATATTCATGTCAAAGTGGGGTTTGCCAAATAAAATCTGCAGTGCAGTGATTAATCAGTCAATTTCTTTTTGTACACAAAATTCATTAAGAGAACAATGCGATCTTCAATCTATTCTAGGGTAATGTAATTGTTATCTCATGAGTCGGCATGAAACTGTAAGAAATATCAACAAAGAGAGAAAAGTTTCCTTTGTTATTTTTCGTTTAAAAAATTGTTATTTGAACGCAAAGGCTTGTATTGGGAAAACTTATCGCATTTTATTTTACAGTTTTGAGATTAATCCTAACAGCAGCTAAGAGGAATAAAGCCTTATTAACTGAGATTCCAAAGATCCATAATATTTGAATATTCTATTTTAAACTACACATTTTTTGAATACCAAATTTCTCATGAACATGTTAAAACAACCTTTTTAGCATAAAAACGTTTTCAACAGTTTTTAAGGAAATAAAAAAATAACATGTCTTTAAAAGGCACATGATAATAAGAAGAAACTAAAAAATTCCTCCTTTTTATTAAAAAAAAAAAAGCAAACCCACAAAAAAACCCCAAAAAAACCCAAAAAAAAACCAAACAAGCAGATGAGAGGTCAAGTTTTCAATGTTTGAATTCCCAAAGGTCAGAATTTTGTTTGGCTGAGTTGAAATGGATGTGAGTCAGGGATGGCTTACAATTAGTGTTACTTCAGTAAATAAACCTTTCAGAATTAGCTTTCCCCTCAACTAGCTGTACTGAATAGCATCTGTTCCATCAAAACTGAGGAGGTCTTGTTCAGGTTTCTGGAAAGTATATCTTTGCAACCTAAACTGTCAAATGATGCTGTACTATGTAAGTGATTATTTGGACTTTAATTTGAGTCTGTCATCCAATTCAAACAACTGATATTTAGACTAAGTAAGAAATACACATTTTCAAGCCTTTTACTGAACATGAACTGTCCCTCTGCTTTCAGACTTCTGTATTGGGTTTAAATGGAGAGGTTTTGGTAGTGAGGGGCTGCATAGGTGTTTTTTGTGATGTCAGAAATTTCCCCCACGTCTGACACAGCCAGTGCCAGATGGCTTCAAGAATAAGCCATCAGTGACTGTGACTGACCAAGAATAAGCCATCAGTGATGATGGTAGTGCTGCTGTCATTTAAGAAGGGGGAAAAAACTGCTGTGCAGGAGCAGCTGGAAGTGAGGAGTGAGAATATGTGATAGAAACAGCCCTGCAGACACCAAAGTCAGTGAAGGAGGGGAAAGGGTGCTCCAGGCATTGGAGGGTGCTCAGATTCATGGTCTATAGAGAAGACCAGGTGAAGTAGAATGTCCCCCTGCATCCCATGGAGGTCAATGGGAGTGCAGAGACCCACCTGCAAGCCTTAGAGAACCCCATGCTGGAGCAGGTGAATTTGCCCAAAGCAGGCTTTACCCCACAGGAAGACCACGCTGGAGCAGGCTGCTGGCAGGATTTGTGTTTCTGTGGGGAAGCCACACTGGAGCAGACTGTTTCTGAAGTAGTGCAGCATCTGGAAAGACACCCACAATGAAACAGTTACTGGAGGACTGTAGGTGGGACACACGCTGGAAGAGGGGAAGAATGTGAGAAGTAATGAGTGGGAACAAGGTGTGATGAACTGACTGCAACCCCCCATTCCCTATGCCCCGGTGCCAGTGTGGGGAAAGAAACAGTGAAACTGAGAGTGAAGTTGAGCTTGAGAAGAAATGAGGATGGGGGGAAATGTGTTTTAAAATTTGTTTTTATTTTGCGTTACCCTACTCTGATTTGATTGGCAATAACTTAAATTAATTTTTGCAAGTCAAATCAGTTTGGCCTATGGCACTAACTGATCTCTTAAGTCCTTACTATGACATTTTTGTTGTACTTTGTCTCTCCTGTTCACCTGAGGATGGGGAATGATAGAGCTTCCAGCCAAGGTCAGCCCACCACAATACTTTAAACAAAAATTCGGAAATAGAAAACATTAAGTTTTTAGTTAAAATTTAGTACAAACTTGGGTTCAGATTAAGTGAGGTGGTTGTACCTATTGGTATAGCAGGGATGCAATAGCTTTAAATCTGAAATACTAAGTCAAATAAGCAGAGTTCATAGATTTCCTATATATCTCTAGGTTTCCTGCACAGATAATGGGAAAAAGCCATACCCATCAAGAAAACCAGGGCATTCAGTAAAGGATATGAAAACTTCAAGGAGAGAAAAATATATGTTTAGAATCCTATTTCTGTCCTGAGTTTAAGCATCCCCTGCAGTAAGTATCCACATGAAAATAGAACTGGTAAGCTAACTCTGCTTCTTTAATGTAGATGTCTTTGTCACAATTTGTGAAATAAATGTCTCAGCCACTATGTGAATCTTAGTTGCCTCAAAACCTTTGTATGTGCAGGTCTCAGCTTTAAAATGTATTAGTATATAAATTCTGTTCTTCACTAGCCTTTTTGCAGTGATAAATATTTTTGTCCCAGAACTGTGAAGATACATCTTTTTCTCTCCAGTCTTTCAGTGTCAAAATTCTGCAGATTATTTACCTCATTCTCATAAATGTGATTAATTATTTTATCTCTATTAAAGCAGTTGTAGGAAATAAGTGTTTGTGCATAAATCCATTTGCAAAAATGACGGAACCTTACATGCAAATTTCAATACATTAATTACTTTCTTTATTGGTGTCTGAAATGGCTTCTCCATGACAATTCTTTTTCAGATTAAGGTGTTTCAACTCTAGAAGGCTGAAACTTCCTTTTCTGTCATACTTATGTCACCCATCAATTTATTTTTTTTCTGGCAGAATTACCTACACATCAATTGTGTATGATACTTTTAAGGTTAGGTTGAACAAAAGCTGTGGAAAGAAAAGTCAGTAAGTAAATAACACCGCACAGAAACTGTTGTGAATTGAATGAGTGACTCCCAACAGGTCTTGTACAAGATATCTGTACTTCAATGTCCTTAGATGTGATATTAGTTCAGGACCCTTGTGAAATTTGTGTACATTTAGATGGATGCTTAACCACAGAATTCCAGTGTTGCTTGGTAGTGGTAAATAAGACAGTCCTAAGTGGTGTTGTTGTTGTTGTTTGTTGTTGAATCTGTCAAAATGCACTAGACACCAATGAAAATTGCAGTATCCTTTGTTTCTCCATATACATGCCTTTAAATTTTAGATAAAGTGAGTTATTGTAAAGAGGCTCTGCCATAAATTACAGCTGACAGTGGAAGTGATTAAGGCACATAGTTTGATTGCATGCATTAATCTCTACAACTTTTGTCAAGTCTAATTTAATTACCCATAGGTATACGTTTCTTTTTAATTTATTAGCTTTGTCAGTAATCAGTTGCATTGTATGCTATTACTTGCAAAAGGTGAAACCCAGCCACAATAGTGGAAAAATCAGACAGTGAACAGCAAAATAAAACATTAAATGTCACAACCCTCAAGTATATAGTAATACTGTTAAATCCACTTATGAAATGAGACTATTTACTTAATCTTGAAGGACTGTCACGTTTCTTGATTTAGACCAGTCCATTCTCCCAGGTAAAAACAGTTGAGAAGCCTTAATCATTTTCTGTTGTGTAAACTGCTGCTGAGGTTATCATCAGCCTTACAGATTTGTATTTTTTTAACCAACTTCATGTCTCTATTTTTACCTGGCTATTTATTGCTTAGATGACAGTACAGTCTTTTCCTCATGAACAAGTGATCATGAATACAGATATTTTATGATATATGACATTTTAATAGACTAATATCAGTACCCCAATTTTCAGCACGCTCATCATTTTAGGCCCCATGTACAAGGCATATTCTCTGAAAGTTTCTTTGTAATCTTGATGAGGTATTTAAGAATTCTTGTATAACTAGCAGAACTGCCTGTTCTAGTACTCTATTGCGTTCATAAATAGTAACATTTGCAAAACTCTCTACTCAGGAGCATTGTCTGGTCAGGTTTTTGAATTCAGTATTGCACAGTCTCATAAAGATCCATGTCTTTCACCTGTAAACTTCCCTAACTACATGGAAGATTGGGTGGTTTTTGGTTTGATGTTTTTTTGTATGCATGTTTATTAGTTTTTTGTTTGTTTTTGTTTACTCATGCATTCTGCTCTTTTAGTGAATAGGCACAGAGGGGGTTTGGTGGTTGGTTACTAAAATACATTTTAATTGTGATTAAAGTGTCAGGATTTGCCGGGGTTTGGAAGTTGTTAACTTACTTGTCTACCATTGTTTTCTGTGTTGCCATAGTTATTATATTGTCTCCTTGCATTGGCTAGCCAAATGGCCAATCCCCTCTTTGGCCCAGCAGCCCTTATAAGCTGCGGGAAATTTGAATAAAGGCTCTTCTTCTTTGCTGCTGGATTCCCTGCGTGCTGCGTGGTCTCTGTCTCTTGGCTTAAGTACCTCCGCCGCCTGTCCCTGCCACGAGGGACGGGCGGCAGGGGGGTGATTCCAGCCCTGAAAACCTTCACAGAGCGACCGGCAGTGACCTCCCAGAAACCCCTCAAACTGCAACAAGGATTGGTTAATATTATTGGTTATTTCCACATTGACGTGGACAAAACAAAGGAAACAAAAATCATTTTGTACCAGTAGGTGAGTGACTGTCAACATCTCAGAGCCAAGCTCTGTTTCCTCTGTGTCAATTAGTAAAATTTTGTACTGTGAAACTTCTGAAACAAATATATAGCTGACAGAAGAATAATTTCTTTTTTAAATAACTAAAGAATTTTTACTCCCTACTTCCCCTTAACTAATGCACAGTAAACCATTTCAAACAAATATAACATTGAAATGTACGCAAGGGAAATAAAAGAGGCTTCCTAAATTGCATAGTACATGCAATTATTATTACACTTGTTTAGTGGATATATGAAAATAAACTGCTTACTTGTGGCCAATGGACCTAATTACAGCACTAGCTGACAGAAATAAGCCTTCCCATGAAGTAAATATGTTGTACTATATGGCTATAAATTTAAGAAAATATTTTTTAATATAGTGCATGTACATTATTACTGTCATTGAAGAATAAGTGCAGTATCTTGCAGTCTCTGAGAAATGACAGAAGTAATTAGGACTTGCAAACAAGAGCAAGATCATGTTCTATGGTATGCCAAACTTCATGAAAAAATAGATAGCATGGCTCTGAAATAGTGCACACACAAGGGCAGCAGGGAAGCTTTCAGTTTGAAAACTGTATACCAACCATATGATATTCCCAGCAAATGGAGAGTGCTATGTCTATATTTATTGTGTCTTTTTTCTCTAATATATAGACATTATACAGTGAAGCTTACTTTAAAAGTGTCATTACTTCCCACAAGGCTATAGGGTGATGAGCAGTCGACAGACTGAGTGAGAAAAAGCTATTCCACTTGCAGCTCAGAAGGCAAATCCTAGGCCAGATGGAATAGTGCAGAGAAAAGTACCATGAGACCAACAAGAATTCATATTGGACATCCAAATTAAAGAAAATACTAATCGAAGTCAAAAAGCTACATAGGAAGGCAAACTGTAAATTCAGAACAAAATAGAAAGTGTAAAATGGCTAAAAGCAGTGAATGGACCTATAATTCTCAAACTGAGAATCATCATAAGACAAATAATAGTATCAAAAAGTGAAGGTCCTTCATAAACCTATATAATTCTGTACTAATTTGCATTTCTGTATTTTTCAGCTGCCACTGTTTCATGAAGAAAATTACTGCTGCATTTAGAGACCAAAAAAAGAAGAAAAAAGTTTTGGTTATTCATGAAAACCTTCAATATATTTAATCAATTTACAGAAATAACCTTGCAATGTAAGATAATAAAAAACAGCTTTTAACAATAGCTATTCTATTCAATTTCTCCATGAAGTCCAGGGGTCTAATGCTATATTATGCAGACTATATACTGCTGACCAAAAGAGTTTTTCACTATTAGGAGATCTTCTGTCTCTTTTCCTTTCTTAACAGATAGGTTGCCAGGAGCATCTTGGGTTTTGAAACCAGTGTTAATTAAAGACAAACAATGAGTTAGGGATAGTGGAAATAAATGGGGGGGGAGGGAGAGAACGCGATACAGACTTTTGTAAGCAATTGCACAGCTTTAAAAGTCACGCTTCAAACTCTGCAAATATACATTGAGAGAAATACATGAACTGGTCACCCAAATAATACAATTGTGACTTTATAGTCACAATTACCTCATTTTTTTCCTCCTGTGTTGTGCTGGTTTGGGCTGGGGTAGTTAATTTTCTTTACAGTGGCTCGTATGTGTGTATGTTTTCTATTTGTGCTGAACACAGTAATGATAATAGATATTTTTGTCATCTTTTAGCAGTGCTTACACAGAATCAAGGCCTTTTCTATTTCTTGTACTGTGAGGTGAGATGGTTTGCCTGAGAAATTGTGAGGAGACATAATCAGGACAAGTGACCAAAAGGATATTCCATGCCGTATGACATGATGCTCAATTATAAAGTGGGAGGAAAAAGGAGGAAGGGGGGGCATGTTTGGAGTGATGATGTTTGTCTTCCCAAGTAATTGTGAAATGTGATGGGACCCTACTCTTGTGGAGATGGCTGAACACGTAACTGCTCATGCGAAGCAGTGAATTAATTCCTTGTTTTGCTTTGCCTGTGCGCATGGCTTTTGCTTTGACTATTAAACTGTCTATCTGAAACCATGAATTCTCTGGCTTTTACCCTTCCAGTTCTCTTCCCCATCTTGGTGGAAGAGTGAGAGGCTGCATGTGGCTTGCCTGCTGCCTAGGGTTAAACCATGACACATGTAAATAAGGTTGAATCCAGGAAGACAGTATAAATAATGGAATTTTTGCTCTTTAAGTATTGAAGCAGAACAACAATGAAGAGACAGGAGGAACACTGCTTGTTGAAACAAGTTATTGCCTGTTTACCGGAGATGGGGTTAAATGTGCTCATTTTACATTTGGTCTGATGAAAGAGGTGAGGAATATTTACTCTGATCCAGGTTCCTCCTTTCTACATGTCATAGTTATTTACACACCACAATAAACTAACTGTACTGCAAGACTATTTCTCAGATTAATTATCACTCAGAAGTAAGATTAATTATAGAAGAAAAGCATTTAGCGTGTTCAAGAACAGAAGTTGACTTTTACTTTTTTACTTTAACAAAATTTTAAAAGAGAAGGAAAATGAGGACGTGCAATCATTCTGGCATGGACCCGCACACTAGCCATTGAACTAGTACTGCCTAGCCTCTTCAGAGACCTGCCCTGGATCAAGATAGACTGAACATCTTTTACTATTCAGTGTAAAGTCAGTTTCTGTTGTGTGATTCAGAGACAATGCAGTAACATCACTCATCTTTTTAACGTATACAGTCATGCTGTAACTGTGACAACTTCCAATGAAATGTCAATAAAAGAAATTAGGTATGGGTGACTAGCGAGTTAAAAAGCTAACACTGTATATATGAGGAATATTGTTAATTTACCATGCATTTTGTTACAACTCTAATAAACAAGAAAGGAATGAAAAAAAGAGTAATTTTTAGGAGCAAAGGATACAAATAGTGTGAAATACAAAATTTTAGTAACACTTAAACTGAAGTTAGAAAACTACTTGCCCCGGCCCTATGCAATATAACATGTTCTTTTGGGCTAGACATATAGGAAAACTTTGGCTTCACTGAAAACAGACAGAAGGACATGTTTGGTAACTGATCATCTTGATTTGTAATAGGCAAAAATTTTTAAGAACTATTCTCCCACAACTGTAACAACTGATCTCTCTGTATCTTAAACTTAAACTCTGTCAAACGTAACTTTCAGGTGTTCTACAAATTAGATACAGTACTCTCTTTTGAGGCATTAAAATCCATTGCTTTATAAAAAAAC